TTACCCCAGTGTCATTCTTCTCCCTGGAAATAACCAGATCTCAGTGGAATGTTCATCTTTCTAGACCTCATTCTATTTGTACAATTCTATTCATTGTTTCCATTGGGAGGTATTTGGCTGCACGTACCAGAAAACCCAACTAATAATGGCTTGAATTAGGGGTCAGCAAGCTTTTTCTGTAAAAGGTCAGATAATACATGTTTTTGGGCCTCATAAACTACACTGTCCCTAGCACAACTACTCAGCTTTGTCATTGTAGCACAAAGGCAGCCATATTCAATATGCAAATGAATGGGCGTGGCTGTGTTCTGATAAAACTTTATTTACAATGATAGGTGGCAGGCCAGATTTGCCTATAGGCTGTAATTGGCTAACCCTTGGCTTACCAGCAGAGATTTGTTTGGCTCCAGTGGCAAGAAATCTGGAAATACCCTCATAAGGAAAACCTAATTCACATTCCTACCAAAAATATTTGAGAATGCCTGCAACCTTACCAATAGTGGGTATTAACAGCCTTTTATATTTTTGCCAGTATTCTTTGTCCTTAATCCTGCATTTTGGATGCATGCCTCTCCCTGATCTTCCAGCTGAGTGATTTTCTCTGTGTCTGCATCTAGGCTGCTCTTCACTGTCTTTTGATCTTTTTATTTTGATGATTAAATCTTTCACTCATGATTTCTAATTAATTCTTCTCCATTCTAGGTTATTCTTGTCTGATGGAGACAATGTCCCCCTTTATCACTCTAAGAATATTAAATATACTTAAAATGTCTCTATTTGCATCATTATCCCTAGGCTTTGGTTGTTGGTTCTTCTGTTAATTGAGTTGGCCCCTCTCTTTCATGGCATGAGTTTTCCTGGAACGTTTGGTGATTTGTGAATATGTGCTTCTTCTGTGTTCCGTGAGCTCCTGTTTTCTTCTCTGTGGATGCAGTTCTTTTTTTTTTGAGAGAGAGTGAGCGAGCTGTGGAGGGGACAGAGGGAGAGAGAGAATCTCAAGCAGACTCCACGCTGAGCGCAGAGCCTGATGCAGGGGTTCGATCTCAGAATCCTGAGATCATGACCTGAGCCAAAATCAAGAGTCAGACGCTCAACCGACTGAGCCACCCAGGTGCCCCTGGATGCATTTCTTTTTAGCTGCCAGTGATCAAGTCAGAGGTGCGGACCTTGCTACAAGAAGTGTGGTGCTAATAGTTTGTCTTCTGAGCACAGGATCTTCTTTTCCTGCTATGGATATGTCCTGCTTTTCTATCCCAGAGACCCACAGTCACAGATCCTCCAAGCTAGGTGGACCAAAGAGCTACCTGTTAGTGCCCCCACAGGAGTTTGCAATCCCTGTCCTTGAACTCCAACTTCAGTCCCTCTCCTCTCCCCGGAGAATGTGTCACCTCCTGGTTTGGAACAGCTCACGACTCCCTTCCCCTTTTGTACCAGGCTTTCCTAGCTTCTGATTTGGCCCATGTTTCTTTTCATTAATCCAGTTCTGTCTGCCATTCTTTCTTAGGAATATCTCGACATTTTTAATCTGCCAGAACGACCCCTCCTTATTTTCCCATGCTCTCGTGGTCTTTAAATGGGGGCATTTCTGTGGGCTTGGGCAGGAGAGGCTGATGTGTGTACTTGCCCTCGGTCTTCCCAACTCGATTCAACCTCAAGGTGACTTCTTGTTACAGCTTTCACCTTCCTGGTCACCTTCATCTGAATAAGTTCATCTTTCTCTAAAAATACACTATGTTGGAACCAAACCAAACATTCCAACTATGAGCCGATCCACATAGAATATAGAGATGGTGTGCACTTCCTAATAAGAACTGGGTTCAGATACTAACTCTGCTCTCTACTCCATTGGTCAAGTCCATTTACTTCTCTAAGCCTCCACCTCCCTACCTGTCGAATGGGAATAATGATCATAATACCCACCTCCCAGGTTCATGAGACTAAACTAAAACAGTACGTCAAGAGTTTAACGTGGGGCCCAGCACACAGTAGGTGCCAAAATATGTTGTCTCCCTTCCTCTTATTCTGACAAATTTCTAACACATAGTGTGTGCTGTGGCAATGGTAGTTTTTGGCAAACATACCACACTGTTAGCTCATACCGAGCACATTAGCGAAAAGCTCCATCTTTGTCTCATGAACTTGCCTCCAGCCAGACTTCTCTCCCCGTTCCTCTCCTTGTATAGGACTTTACCTTGGCCGTGATGCACTCTTATCAAGCTGTTCTCGATCCATCTCTAGCCTGTAGAAATTGATCTGAACGCAGATTCCGTCATCCAGCTTATTCTGTGTTCCTCCCATCTGAATGTCATCTGCAGACTGCATAAGCAGCCTTCAACGGCCAGGTCTAGCCATTGATAAAATGATAGCTTGGGACAGGACCAAGGACAAAACCCCATGGCATGCCACCCTTCAGTGGAAGAGTAATTTAGATGACTGTGCAAAGTTGATTAATTTGTCCAGTTCCTGTAATCGTATGTCCTTGTGGCTTGATTATAATAATATTAGCAACCATGTACCGGTCTTATTTGCCACAGGCCAGGCACTGAGGTAAGCGCTTTTCATATATTACTTTTATTTCTTATAACAAGTCTGCAGGGTAAGTATTTACATTACCTAGGACTCCATTTAAAAACAAAAAACAAAAAAACCCTTCAATCTAGCTTTAGCAGAAGAGGGACTATATTACTTCATTAAAAGACTCTGCAGTGTAGGGACGTCTGGGTGGCTCAGTCGGTTAAGCGTCTGCCTTTGGCTCAGGTCATGATCCCGGAGTCCTGGGATTGAGGCCCACATGGGGCTCCCTGCTCAGTGGGGAGTCTGCTTCTCCCTCCCCATGCTCTTGTGCTCTTGCTTGCACTCTCTCTCTCTTTCCCTCTCAAATAAATAAGTAAAATCTTTAAATAAAAAAAAAGACTGCAGTGTGGGGGCACCTGGGTGGCTCAGTCAGTTGGGTGGCCGACTCTTGATTTCTGCTCAGGTCATGATCTCAGTGTCCTAGGCTCGAGCCCCGAGTAGGACTCTGTGCTCAGTGGGGAGTCTGCTTGATGGTTCTTTCTTTCCCTCTTCCTCTGTCTCCACCCCCCCACCCCCAACACTCGCTCTCTCTCTCTCTGGGAAATAAATAAATCTTAAAAAAAAAAAAAAAAAAGACTCTGCAGCGTGGGCACCTCACAGAAACCAAGGGCAGGGATGCTCCTGGGTGTCAAGAATGATGAACCAGAGCCTGCAACCTTCTAGGGTCCCAAAAAACCCTCTCTCAGTGGCTCTTATCCTTATGTCTGTCAGCATCTGTCATTCTTCTCACTTGGTACAAACCAGCTTTCTCTCTTTCTCAGTTCACCTGGCAGAAAGTAGTCCCATAAGCGACACCTGAGTTCTCTTTGCTCCTTTTAAGAGAGCTGCCAGATCTTCCCTGAGCCTGTCAGTCCCAGTTCCCCAGGATTGGCAGCCCTGCCTGGGTCAGGGACCTGCTCCTGGTCCAGGCATGTGCAGTAAGTGACAGGGTCGTACTATCTGGACGTGGCCTGTGGGAGTCTCAGTGCTGTAACCTGTGGCCACAGGACAGGCCAATGTCCAGAGTCCCCCTGCACATTTTACAAATGAAAGAGAGACCCAAAGTCACACAGCCTGTAAATAGAGGGACCAGGACTTGATCGTGGTTTTGTCTGATGCTCAAGATCATGTCAATACAACATGCTCTGTACCCTGGGCCACGTTGCCCCAGGTCGGCTTCATTGATGAGGTCAGTAAGGGCTGGGCAGTGTCTCAGGCCACAGAGCTCAAGGACCACCTTGTGTCATCACCATGGTCCAGCTCCAGCCCAGGGCTCTGAGATCTTTGGCTGGCTGGTTTGCCTTTTTTAGGGACTCAGCAGATGCCATTACAGAACTCACAGCTTTGTGGAAGGACCTGATACTTAAGGGTATAACCACAGACTTTGGAGTCCAATAAAGCTCGATTCAAATTCCAGGGGTTTCACTTTTTAACTGGTGACTCTCTGTGCCTCAGTTTTCGTAACTGTAAAGTGGAGATTATACAGATACCTACTTTATTGGTTGTTATAATGAATCAATGAGATAATACGTGTAAACACTATGTGGCCAGGATAGAGTAATCGATTCTATAAATGGTAGCAGTTTATCAACTCTGGAACAAGGAGAAAGTACAGGAGTCCAGAGGAGAAAGCCTCTAATTGAGCCAACAGGGTAGCGAGGGGGACATGGATTGGCCAGGGTTTCAAGGAGGAAATGACATTGAAGCTGGAACAATGAATGGGTAGGGGGATTGGGGTAACAGGCGGAAAAAAAACCGGTGCAAACACATGCACATATACAGGAGTTCAAGGGACCAGCAAGTAGTTTGTTGTGATAGAAGCAAAGAATACGTACTGGGAGCAAAGGGGGTGACTGGGACCCCATAGAGAAAACTTTGTTTGCTCATTCATACATGGACTTAGCCAATATATGTCAAGTACCTGCTGTGTCCCAGGCACTGTCCTGGGTCTTGTCGATTCTGCAGTGAAGAAACACACAAATCCACACCCTCGTGGAGCTCATGTCCTGGTGGTTAGAGGCAGACCCTGGGCAAATGAATAAGTGAAATATGAAGAGTGTCAGAGAAAAAAAAATAGAGCAAGGAAGGGGGTGAGGGTCCTTAGGAAGGCCTCCCTGAGAATGGAGCAGAGACTAAAGGAAGAGGGGGAGAGAGCCCGGACAAGAGTCCCGAGAATGGAGGCTATGTGGCTGTATTAGGGGGGATGAGGGGCAGGGGGGTAGGAGGCAAGGACATGGGGAAAGGCTGGGTCATGGAGGCCTTGTGGCTGTTTAGAAGGACTTGGGCTTTCATCTGAGTGAGCAGGAGCATTTTGTGCAGGAGTGGGCCAGAACCAAACAGATTTTAACAGCATGTGCTCTCTGGCTGTGTGTGGCAGCGAATAGACTTTGGGGCAGGGGCAGAAGCAGGAGATCGCTGGGGGCTCCGGCAGAATCCCTATGGAGGTGATGGCGGCTGGGATTGGGGGCAGCGGCGGCGGCGGAGGTGCAGAGAAGGTACTGGATCCTGAGCATGGTGAAGGGAGAGCCATGTGGATTTGTTGTTGGATTGGCTATGGGTGGGAGAGAAAGAGAGGAGTCAAGAAGGGCTTTTGAGGTTCTGTCTGAGCAACCAGAAAACAAAGATTGGTTAATTCCTGAAATGGGAAGGAATGGGAGCAGCTTTTAGAGGGAAAACCAGGAATTCAGCTTAAAACCTGTCAAGAGGGGCGCCTGAGTGGCTCAGTTGGTTAAGCGACTGCCTTCGGCTCAGGTCATGATCCTGGAGTCCTGGGATCGAGTCCCACATCGGGCTCCCCACTCAGCGGGGAGTCTGCTTCTCCCTCTGACCCTCTTCCCTCTCGTGCTCTCTGTCTCTCATTCTCTCTCTCTCAAATAAATAAATAAAATCTTTAAAAAAAAACAAACCTGTCAAGACCTCGAGCAGGCAACTGGATATGAAAATCTAGAATTCAAAGGGAAAGCCATGTCAAGCTTCATCTATCGAGAAAGTGAAACCATTGATTTTTTTTTTTTTTTTTTTTGAGAGAGAGAGAGAGAGCAAGCACGGGGTTGGAGGGAGGCGTAGAGGGAGAGAAAGAATCTTAAGCAGGCTCCACGCTCAGCATGGAGCCGAACAGCAGGGCTGGATCTTTTGACCCGGAGATCATGACCTGAGCCAAAATCCAGAGCCAGAGGCCTTAACTGAAAAAGGCACCCCTTTTTTTTTCTTTTTTGAGAAGGGAAGTAGGATGGGTGGAGGTCATTACTTATGCAAGTAATACAGGAAAACAACTTCCTTAAGAAAATTATTTTTAAGCTTCTAGACAGGGCTAAAATCCCTTTTGCCAATTCCCATCCCCTCCCTAATCCCATCCTACCCCTCTGTTGTAACTGTTGTCAGGAGCTTGGCATGCATGCATCCTTCCAGACCTTTCTCTGTGCCTCCATATACCCAAGTGTATCTGTAAAATATATGTTGTATTTGGGGAGTGTATTTTAACAAAATGGTGTCATAATGAATGTGCTGTTCCACGATGTGCTTTTGTAACTTGTAACTATCCTTCCTGAACTATGTCTTGGAGATCCATCCTTGGTGTTACAAATAAACCTAGGTCTTTTTTTTTTTAACTTGTTACGGGTTATTTAGCCATTTTCCAGTGGGAGGGCGTTAGCATTTTGTACGTTCATCCTTAGGCACCTGTGTCTTTCCAGAGGCTTCCAAGGAGTGAAAAGGCTGGGTCTGAGTAGATCGAAGCTACGCAGGTTCTGTTTGGTCTTGTTTGGGAGGGTACTGCCACCCGGCCCCCCAAAGTGCCTCTGTCCCCTGACTCGCCAGCCTCGGCAGGTTTGTGATGAGGGGAGCCACAGAGATCTGTGTTTTGCAGCAAAGCTCAGTGGCGGGCTGTGGGTTGTAAGGAGTGAGGAGGAAGCTGAGAGAGCATGGAACCTGTGAGCTGCTGTCCCACTCTTAGAACCCACCCTGGGACAGGACACAGGCTCCTCTAGGGGCTGGAAGAGACCCTCCTTGCCCCTTCCTTTCCTCCTGCACAAACGAAATGCCTTCTCTCCTGCAGCCGGCAAGCCGGGCTTCTTCCTTGCCAGCCAGTGTCTATTCCTAGACCTCCTCACCAGCTTGAAGTCATCCCCTTTTGACAAACACACTGGTCAAGACATTATAAAAACGCTATTTTTATTAGAGCAGACCGGCTCCCTCTATCCTTGGGCCTCTTATTCCGCCACCAGCCTGCCAGTGTTCTTTGCCGGCAGCCCCCCTCCCCTTGCCGCAACGCCACGTCCAGGGGTTGGCGCACAACCAGGGTTGTGATTGTCACCAGCCCAGCGCCTGTTCTGAGGGTGTGATAGCAGCCCCTCTCTGGAGGCAGACCAAATCCTACACCCAGCTGCTCTCCCCAGAAACAGTTTAGCTCAGCCACATCCCACATGGGCACAGGAGAGTGGCATCCTTAAAAAAGGTTACGTCATCTTCGTGTGAATTTCAGATGGGTGTTGGCTGTGAGAGAAGGTGCCTTCAGGGGTAGCTCGGGAAGCTGGGTCCGGGGTCCACCAGGCATTCAGAGTGTGTGCCGTTGGAGTTAGAAACTTCTCAATATTTCTAATCAGCATTGTCTTCATTGCTAACACGTAGCGAGCATCTATTCTATGCCAGGCTGTATTCTGAGAGGTTTATGTTTATAAGGGGGATGCTTTTCATTATCCCCATTTCTTTGTTTTTTATGGAGAACTAATTTCCATAGAACAAAATTTACCATGTTCAAGTGTACAATTGAGTGGTGTTTAGCATATTCATAGCGCTGTGCAATCATCACCACCACCTAATCCCAGAACATGTACATTACCCCAGATAGAAACCTGTACCCATTAGCGATTACTCCCTGTTCCTCCTTCCCCCAGACTCTGGTATCCATTACTCTGCTTTCTCTCTCTGTGGATTTGCCTATTCTGGACATTTCATGTAAATGTCCGGCTTCTCTCACTGAACATAGTATTTTCAGAGTCCATCCATATTGTAGTATGTGTCAGTACATCATTCCTTTCTGTGGCCCAACGACGTTCCATTGTACGGAGATAGCACACCCTGTTTATCCATTCATCCATTGAAGGACAAGCCAGGTTGCTTTCGCTTTTTGGCGGTTAGGCACTATGCTGCTAGAACATCATCCCAGTTTGACAGCCAGGGAAACTCAGGCACAAGTACCATTTGCCACTCACCCAAGCAGGATGGGATTCCTACCCAGGCATCTGGCTGCACAGCCGAGTCCCCACCACCCCTCCCAGCTGCTCAGCAGTCAAATGAAGACCTGGGAATTAAGGGCCTGTGTCATACACCTCCATGGCAACCATACTTCAGAATTAAAAATTGGGTCCTGTGGGGGCGCCTGTGTGGCTCAGTCGGTTGGGCCACTGGCTCTTGATTTTGGCTCAGGTCATGATCTCAGGGTCCTGGGATCGAGCCCTGCATCGGGCTCTGTGCTCAGTGAGGTGTCTGCTTGAGGATTCTTGCTCTCCCTCTCCTTCTCCCTCTCTACTTGCTCACGCTCTCCCTCAAATAAGTAGATCTTAAAAAAAAAAAAAATTGGGTCCTATGGTGCAAGGAATTCATCATACTTTTGGGACTCGGGTCTGTCTTCTTTGCATTCAGGACCATGTAGGAAGTTCTGGCTGAGTCCTGATTGTTCATGCTGTCCAAAATGCATTTATCCACGTCCTTTGATGTAACAGGACTCAGCCCTGTCCTGGAAGCTCATGGTCAAGGAGGAGAGATGTACTGTCTTGGTCCCCCCAGGAAGCAGACAATGGGAGGGAGATATGTTGTGGGGGGTGGGAGGGGGTCTCTGGAATGACACCTGTGAGGGAGGAGGGACGTGGGACTGGGCAGAGGGAGGAGTTGAATGGTGATGCAGCCCAGGTAATCCCAAAGGGAACTCTGGAGATGGGTGATGCTTCAGAGACATTCCCAGTTCAGGCAAGGTGCTTGGGTCTTTGCACCCTTGGCATCAACCCATATCTGAGAGCCAGAATCACCTGGCTTCTTCCTGGGAAGGGCCCAGCTGTGAGCTGCCAGCCATCACCAGTCCCGGTACCTGGGTGAGAATAAGTCATCTGGGCGGCATCCACAGTGGCTTGGCTAAGTGCTCCCTGACAGAGAGTGGTCTGTGAGAAGGGTCAGGAACACTGCAGAGGGAGGGCGTAACCCCGCCTGGGATGGGGGTGAGCAGGGAGGAAGGGGCGTCTTCACTGTGCCATGAAGTCTTGAACTCCAAACCTGGACACCCCACTGCCAGCCCATGAACCACCCCTCTTGGGTGCCTCTGCTTTTCCACACGGCTGCCCCAAACCAAAGTTGGCCCTGCTGCCTGCCAGCTGTCTCAAGAATGGCAACCCTGTCCCCCCGATTACACCGGCCAGACACTGCAGGGCTTCAGTGCCTCCCCCCATCCCATGTCCCCCCAGCCCTACACCTTCGCCTTGAAAACACCTTCTCCCTGCCTCCTCCGTGTTGTTGACACCTCTTGTCGGAATACCCAGAGCAGCCTTCTACCTGCTTCCAGCACCCACTCTTGGCCACCTCCAACCTCTGATTCCAGTGTCGCCCCCTGCCCCAGTAACCCGATGTGGCTCCACAGTGGTCAGGGTTGGGGGCAGAACTCCTTGCTGTGGGCATGTGGCATTGGTGGCCCGGCCCCTCAGCCCCACGCTGCCCTCTGCTCCCCTTCCCTTGGTGGCTCCAGCCCTGCGGAGCATCCTTGCCCCTCCTGTCTTTTGCGCCTTCTTGCCACATGGCCTTCACGTGTGTGCCTGTGTTGCTTGGGGCGTGCTCCCCTCTCTGTCCCAAATTACCTTGTTTGCCCTTCACCTTTTGGTTCTGTGTCGCCCGTCCATGAAGCCTTGGCTGACCTCCCTGCCGTCGTCATGTGTCCCCCGTAAAGGTGTCCCACATCCACCTCCAGAGTGCTTGGGATGGTAGATGACGTAGTACTGGGCGGTGGGCTCATTTATTTAAAATCGGCCCCCCTCCCTAGACCATCAACTCCAGAAGGCGGGGGACCTGGTTCTGGCATGGGCTGGGAGGGGCTCAGTAAGCCTGAAAGTGGTAAACCTGAGGAAGGGAAGGAGGGCGGACGTGGGGAGAAAGAGAGGGAAGGAAAGGATCATGGTCCCACACGGTCGGGGAGGGGATGGGGGTGCACCCGGCCCCCAGCACCTGTCACTGGCACAGTGGGCTTTGCCCTTCACCAGCCTAAAGCAGACCTGAAATGTCAGAGGCCAGGTCCTTCTCGCCATCCCCTGAGATCAAACCAACGTGCTCTGAGCATTCTCCGTCCCAACCCGCAGACAAGCTCCCGGGGCTCCTTGCACTGTGCTTTTGCACACCCTGTTTCCTGCCTGGGTGCCCCTAGTGAGCTTCCCTACAGGTCAGCGCTGTACTCTCTCCTCCGTAGAGCCCACCCAGTCCCTGAGTGGCGCCAGGCATCCGCCACTCCCCCCCACTGGCC